AGAAGCTTGTATTAGAAGCACATATCTTTTACGATATTATATATATAAAAATTGTAAAATACTTTTTATTATTTTAAAATAAGAATTTTATATATGATTTAAAAGGGTCTGTAAGATAAGTGTTTACTTATATCTAGCCTTTATATAATTACCTTTTAAGTGAAACGGCACATTTCGTTCGAAAGATTATATCACAAGATGTAAATACACGTTAGAAAATAATATTATTCGAATGATAATATTGTCGATTTGTCTTTAACTTACGAAATTCCTGTGGTAGAATGTTTGAGGGGTGCATAAAAAGTAATCTAAGCCTTAAAAATTTAGCAAAATGTTGCTTAACTTTCCCGGCAATATTTAAAACTGCGCGTGTGGCGCCATCTGTTATATTTTATTAAAATTGTTATTAATTTAATTATTATAAAATGGCAAAAAGCTTAATTTTGAAGACAGTGATGGGTTTTATAAAACATTGTAAATACTAATAACGAGTAAAATCGTCATTAAGTCTAACCTTACTCGAGATATGACACACGACTCCCATTATCTCCTCACCCCCTCAACCTTTAGAACAAAAATTTAATAGAATTACTCCCCTTAATGCACAAATTTCCCTGCAAAATTTCAGAAATTTTTGACAAAAAGTACGGGAGTTATTATTAAGCTTCAAAGAGGGTAAACGCAATCGTGTCCCCCATACACAGCAACAATCAAATATACGGGGAAAAAACCCCGAATTGTTTTTATTTTTTTATTTTTGCATTTCTCGATGTTTCAAAATTCCCTGAGTGAAAAAAAAAAAAATGTAAAATTCTTGGGGGACATTGTTTGATCGATTGCCATAATTTCTCTCTGTTATATATAACAGAGACAGGAAAGTAAAAATTCAAAACGCGGCAATATTCATCCCCAAATTGTAGATGAAGTTTAATGTATATATGGTTTGCTTGATTAGATAAGGCAAAGCAACACAAGGGCGAGCAGCGTCCATGAGAAACTGGCCCCTATTTAGGTGTTAGACACGTAAAGAAAACGCGGAAAACACCCGTGGTCAGGTTTAGACCGCTAAACCCACGTCAGTAACAGGCTTAAACTACGGTGGTGGGTTCAAGCCTGTTAGTGGCATGGTTTAGCAGTGTTATTCACTGGACAACTAGTGGGCTACTTAATGTATGCAACGTTAAAACTTATTAAAAGATGTTTCCACGGAGAAACTAAAAAAAAAAAAATGAGAAAAGTAATTTTGAGTAGAGTATACAAATTAATGTTACTTACTGTATAGAATATAATATCTATATTAATACGCTTGGTACAGTACGTTAAAGTGAAATATTTTTCTAGTAAAGACATTATAGAACAATATACAGATTCTTGTAGAATTTCTGAAATATCATTTATAGCAATTGCTATAAAAGTATTATTAATACGACAAAAATTATGTTTTTAAATTATAAAAATAAGAATTTTATGATATATTAAATTAACACATTAATTCAGTAATCTTCATATTGAAAAAAATGGCAAAATAAAATTAATGAGATAAACATAAGGACGGAAATTCACATAATCAATGCTTCTCGTTAAAGGAGGTTGGATTTTATGCGTGATAATATAATAATTTTATTTAATTTTTAATTGTAATTAATAAACAGTGTCCAAATACACGAATGAATGCTCGAAACTTTGCTTGTATAGTTCTGAAATAACAGAAACACATTAAAAGCAGTTATCACTTTTCCACTTCAAACAACTGTTAAAACTGAATTCATCATATTTAATTGCAGTTTATCGGTTGCTTGAAGCAACTTTCCAGTCGATAATTGAAGCAGTGTGACTTAAAAGTCGGAATAATCTTCGTCTTTAATTAGCTAATTTTATAGTTTTCTTGTTAATAATATTATATTTCGCTCGTAAAAAAACTGTAAAATATAAACAATTTGTTAAAAATGCATGCGATTCGATTATGTATAAGAAATTATTACTGCAGATTCTACTGTAATATAATATTAAAACATTTAAAATTTTATATTATAACCTGGAAAAATTTTGCTCATTCATCACTTATATAGATAAGTTATATTCTATTAAATTAGAAAATTCATGAATTTATTTGCATGCTTCCAATTTGAAAAATAACTACTTAATTTACTTCACTAAATACTAATTTAAATCTCTATCACGATAAACGAAAGGCGTTTGTTGCATCATCAATACGATGCGCCAGTGTTAGTTTATCCTGTTTGTTTCATCACCAACACGACGAAACAAACAGGATAAATCTATATTTTAGCATTACTCGGGGGATTAGGAATTAGATTGATATTAAAATTCGGTTTAGAAAAATCTAAAATGCTACGTTACTAATAAACTTTGTGACCGTTTTTACTTACTTTTTTACAACTTTTTGTGAAAAGTTTAGTTCATTTTAAAGTTTCTTTTCTTTATCTTATATATTTCTTGAAAAATCTGGAATTTAGTTAAGTTTGAAGTCATGTAACTCGAAAAAAATTCTTGTCGAAAGAGAACTTTTTATATAAAAATTTAATCTATAGGATATATAATGTTATGAATCTTTAAATGAGGACACACTGACATATTTCTTCCTACGAATCATACGTTAGATTAATCAGAGCGAAGAAAAATTACATATTTCTAGTCTGGATTTAAAGATTTTACAACTTTTAAATTCGCGGATATTCAGCAATCATCGTTTATTTTAGTAGCATACAGTGAGGTATTTGTTACAACGTCATTGTTCCTGTCAGCAGAGAATTTCGATAGTGAGGCAATATCCACATTTTATTGTAGATATAAGAATAATAACAAGTAGAAACGATTGATTCTGACATTCAATCCTACATTACAAGAAGGAAGAGCAAATAGAATAAAAATAAGCCATAATAACAATGACCTATTACGAATCTTGTGTACGGGGTGCTGAGAGGAACGATATCGGAAGAAAAGTAACTTAAAGAAGCTCATTTATCATTGTAACTGGACTTAAACCCGTGGAATTGGAAATGATAGAATGTTTCTCAAACAGATTGCTTCTATGTTGAGAAATAAATCCGTTGACCGCATCCTTCTTTCAGAGTTAACATTCTGTTAACAATGGTAGATATTTTTATTCTCGGTAATATAGAAAAAAGTTTATACCTTCTGCTGTAATCTAGTATTCTATTATTTTCGACTAAAAATAAGATTCATACATTTATTTCTCTATAGAAAATATTCTTTCTTTCTATCATTAAATAAGAGACATTTAAAGATCGTCAAAAAAGGGACCGTACATTAATTACGTGTACAGGGAGGTCTAAGTGTACAGTACATCATTGTACACGATGGGGAGTGAGAAGGATCTACATATTGTCTTTAGAAGTATTAATGGCATAAGAATTTTGTCTTATAAGCCTATTACTAGTCACGTGAGTAAAGAATCGGCAAAAAAAATATTTGCAGAATTTTTAAAATTCATTTCTTCAAAGTTAGAGGTTTACGAACTATTGTACATTAAACGCAATTAAAAGGGAGGGAGTTTTCCACAAGTATATCATTGTACACAACGGTCAAGATGGCTCAAAAACTGTAAACGTAATTAATTAACGACCCAAAGTAAAATAAAAGATATCTTTACGTAATTTAGTTTTCTGAAGTGGAGTTTAGAGAATACGAAATGATCAATCTTCCCGTGTAATTTGAAAGAAAAATAATTCCAACAATTCTATTGATAACTCGATAAGAAAAAAAAGGACTATCTTTTCTAATGATAAACTCTCCTCTATTGACACAATGGAGATTTATGAGTTAAATATTTATATGCATATTTGATGATTAAAACGTCAGTCATATTTAATTTTTCATTATTTAAATTCGGGAGTTTAGTACGTAACATGTAATTAATTCTTGTAGTTTTTATGTTTTTTAAACACGAATTTTATTATATAATTTTTAATATATAATAAAAGTTTTAATTCGTCGTGAAACGTAAGAAATTTACTTTAACACTAAACACTAACATTTACTTATCGAAGTTTTCTATTGCACACAGTCAAAAGTTTTTTAGTGTTCTTCCAATTCGAGGTTTTTACTGACCATTCCTTCCGCTCACGTGATTTTAAACTTCTTTAAAAACTTTCATTGACAGTTTACATTTTCTTTTTAACATTTTAAATATAAAACTTACCAAGTAATAAGCGAATTCACATTTAAAATATTCATTAACACAATTATCTAATATTAACGAAAAAATATTTTATTTATGTTAAAAATAATTAAACGGATAAATATATCTTACTATACGTAATATGTTAATAATATATTTATAGTTATAGACTAGTTAAAATAAAGAAAATAATGGTTACGTAACATATAATTAATTCTGTTGTATGCTATCCAATAAGAAATTTTTGTATTATCATTTTAAAAAATCTATTTATACGTAAGAAATGGTCATAATATATATAATTTACTACACAGAGAGAGAGAGTATGTGTATGTGTATGTTGTTTCATCATGTTTAACACCTCATTAATTACGATTGATATATATATAAACAGGTGGTAGTCACATAATTTACAGGAAGATTATGTAATAATGATTGGTCGTACCTTTTTTTTTATTAGTAAAATTTTATTAAATATATTTATGTGTGACCTTATATTAATATTTTAATCAGGAGAATTATTTCTTAATGAAGTGTTTACTCAGTAAAGTTTACAACAAAGATTAAATGCGGTTACAACAGCGATCAATCTAACTAAAATATGATAAAAGATATAATTTTAATTATTTAAAATATAAATTATTTGAGTAATTCATTTTAAAACTTAATTTTTATATATCTATAATGAAGTCTACAGATTATTTTAATTATTTTAATCATACGATTACAAGAAAATTAAGTAGAATTACATCAGTGAAGGAAGATAAAGTAAAAATTTTCTAATAATTATTCCTTTTAAATTCAAAATAAAGAAAAATTATAAAATATTTGTACTAACCTGAAAATGAAATTATCTTTTAATATCTCGAGGATATTTCTCTACACTTCTTGCAGAAAGATATTGCTCTCCAGCTTCGCTCCAACAGAATAAATACCTAGCAGTCGCCTAACACAACCACTATTGACTGCCTTTCCGATCCTGTACCGTGTGTCAGGTTGATCATGTGATACCCAAACGGGATAATGATTGGATAGACATTCAGGTGATTTATATACATATAATTTTTGTTAAATAATCATTGATAATTCAAATTTAGTAATAGAAAAATGTATAAATTAATCTATATTAAAACAAATTTAAAATATTAAATTATAAAGAAACACGCGATTTTACCATCCCTTATATAAGTTTTTTCTGTATATTTTTTTTATTTTCCCTATCTATCCGGTCTCCTACTGGACCTTTACTCCTTTTCTCATCCCCTAACTCTCTTTCTTCCTTCAGACCCTTGAATAGACTCTACCCCTAATACTAATAACAGTAATTAATTATAATAAAAATTTTTAAGAAGAAAAAGAACAGGAGAGAAGAAAGAAAAGAAGAGAAAGAGTTTATAAAAATTATATTTCACAAACTACATTTTGAAATAAATTAAATACTGGTCATTAAAAATCAGTCAGTATATATTGTAGTCATTTATAAAAGCGTAAAGTTTAAACAATTAATATAAGAAAAATTTAAAATATTTTTTAAAAATTTAACGTTCTCTAAAAGAGTTATAAAGCTATAAATATTTTATAAAGCTATGAAAAAGTACACGATGGCATCCATAATAACCCTTTGAATTAAATAAAACTTTATACAGTCACTGTAAAAAATTGCGATCACTCGAAAACTTTTTAAAATTGTTAAATTTTAAGATTTCAAATAGACAAAACGTTGAAAAATTCTTAAAAATGGGCTTCTTTAAAACTTGATCTCCGTTAAGGAGAATTTACTGTCGATTAACTATCAATTCAGAATCCTGTAAAGTACTTTGCATCTGAAGAAAAATTTTTATCTCGAATATAACTGAAGTTGAAGAGAAAAATTCATATTCTCAGACTTTTCCAATAATCCCTTTTTTGATTCAGGATAGTTACATGACAGTCTGAAAATTCGCCTATAAAAATGCAATTTCATTTCAAGTCATTCCTCAACATCTATAAATTTACAGAACTGTTGTAAAATTGGGAATTTGTTGCATTCAAAGTATATTGTTTCCCAATGGATAGATAAAATGTTTATTCACCTCGATTTTTTTTCATTTTTTGTAGTATTAAAACACCTGAAACAATCTAGAAATATATATATAAGCCTATATATATAATTAATATAAATTTTAATTTATA